AAGAAGGGCACAGCACTACAAGCTGTTTGGTTTCTCCCCATCTTGGTGAACCTGTGTTGACTTCAGCTTGCTTTATTGCAATGTAGGGTTTTGTTGCTGTTTTATGAAAGCCCCAAGTCTTGACCCTGTTAATTCTGCAGGGTCATGCTGCTAACGATGAGTATGCTGAAGTGTGGGGTTTGGTTTGCATATAACCAGAGTTGCTTTATCAGTTCCAATTAGAAGATTAATACATTTTCCTTAGGCTTATGCAAGAATGAGCTTTAACAAGTAGCACCTATTCTTTATGCCAGAAAAGCTGCCTTTCATTGGTTTTGCTCTTTTGGCTACAAGTCAGGATCATGTTGGTGGAACTGACACAACCTCTCTAATCCTCCAAACATGTTCTCCTTGCCTCCTTCCAAAGAAGTGCTGTTACAGTTTTAGTTTAAGGGAAAATGCAATTTGCACTTATACAGTATTGTGGCTTAGACAATGCTCAATCTTTTCTTGCAGATAGGTGAGTGACTAAAGATTACACAGATCATCTTCCTTACACGTAACAAGAACCATGCAAAATGCTAAGGATGGCTTTGTGTGTTTGGAAGAACATCTGGTTTATGGTGGCAGGTTGTACTGAACCCTACTATGGATGCTGTTAGCAGTCTCTGCTCGGTGCCTCAAGTGAAAGTTTTGTAACTGACACGTTATAATTAATGCCCACATTTCTAATTTTGAGTGCTCAAGATTAGGACTCAGTGATGAAATTGGAAAGCAAAATCAAGATGCTTGAAGCGCCACCACACCATAAACAGATAATGCAATTAATAGCAAGTCACGTGTGTGACTGAATTGCAAGATATAAAAATGTGTACAATATACATTCCAGGTTACATGGCTTGAAGTGTAAGAATGTTGCAGGGAAGATGTATTTTCTGTATTTTTTTGAATACAGTCGGGTGCTTGGAAGCAGTAAGTCATTTGATGCCCCTATATTTGCACAACTGTAGAACAGCTTCTTCAAAGACTTGCCACTGTAGTAAGTTCACCTGTGTACCTGAAGCGGACGCAAGTTGCTGGGTTGATAGGATCATGTACTTCTCAAAGGAGACTTCCAGGGCTTGTTCCAACTCGCAGAGAAAAAATACATGCGAAAAACATTTATCTTCTGATATGACTATTTCAGAAGTTTTCTCAAAGCATTTAGAATGAACTTCATTCCTTTTGTGGCACAGAATATTTTAAAAATGCTGTGGAACATAAACTGGAAAACTTTTCATGGTCTTTTAAGAATAAAAATGTGGGAGTGAGGAAGGGGGAAAAGTGATGGTGTGCAGCTGACACGAAGTGTGAGGCAAAGTATTTCCTCCTCCCTCCCACCCCCCTAGTTTTGCAGCACTGGATCCGCTGGGCAAAGTAATTTAGAAAAATGTTTTAGCATGGAATAATATCATCTCTCTTTAAAGCCAGAGGACACATACAGGCTGCCTGCAACAGACTGAGGTGTGGAGGGGAACAGGCCCTTGAATTTAATGTTCTTGTACCTTGAGATAATGTACAAGTAAAATGGTTCCTGCTGTCTAGTACCATAACCAAAAGCAGTCTGGGATTATATAAGCACCAGGAGATAAGATCTGGTACTAGGCAGATGCCATACTGATACCTGCTAGCATATACCCTATTTCCTGATCCACAGGCATGCTTGCACTCCCTTTCATACCAAATGTGCTTCTACTTCCTAGCAATCTGTGCATCACTTGCACTGAAGCTAACTGGAATTGATTCAAATAAATAAGCTTTAATAAACTAAGATGCAATTAGTACTGAATATACAAAATATTTTAAAAGTTGTTTTTCATGCCTATTGCTAAAATTAATGCTTAGATTACAGGCAAGCCCTACCCATTTCCCATTTTAAAACAGAGATCTGACTGTCTTCCTGTGAAACTTTACAGCAAAGTTAAGGGCTGGAGAGGGAAAAAAATCACTATACTGTGTCATAAAATGCAGGTGGATTGTCTTCTTAGAACAGTTTAGCATGATTTTACATGTAACTTACCCAATACATACGCTTTTTTCTCTTAGTGAAAAAGCACTTTATTTAAGATCTGCAGGGGCAATTGTTTGTGACAAGAGTGGAAAAATCTGATCTGTGACTCTTCTGAAGCCTCTTGAAAGGCTTGAACTTGGAGGAAGGAGGGTACAGAGGGAGTAAGTACTATGCATGCATGTGTGAGGATACAGCTCTTAAACACCCTTTTAGCTTTCTGATGTAAGATTAGATTCCCATTTTCTTAGTTTCTCTTGCTTTTATTCCTTACAGTGCCTTTTAATTTGACAAGCTTTACTTTAAGGGAAGATAAATCAATTAATGTCTTAGTAGTATTGAAATAATCAGTCTTTTGACAATTTAAAATGTTATGGCCTGTTGAGACTGTATGGTCATATTGGAATACTGTGGAGGAATCCTCTCCTTAACATACTTCTATTTTTAAAGCAGCTGAAAGACATACATGCATACTATCAATGTCTTCTCAAGTGCATTTATTCTGCTACTCCCACATAAAAAGTAAGGAGGGAGATCTTATTGAAAAACCATTATAAAGAGATAACTATTGAATTCAGGTTGCCAGAGAGATCATTCAAGAAGGAAAACCACTGTCTCTCAACAATAAGATAATACCATGGAGGATGGATGATTATCCATGAGATAATTTTGTTCCTGAGTATTGTAATCTCAGCTTCCTTCCCTTCCAAACCCAGCACCCTGGGGTATGAGAGTTTATCACAATTTATTCTCTACTGTGCATTCAAGCCAAAACACTAGAGTATAAGCTATCACTTAAAAATGCATCTTGTTTTCTCAGTTATCAGTGCTGGTAGGTTTCATAATTTCTAAGGCAAAACTGCGAGGGTCTTTAAAATAAAGCAGAACATAATACACATACAATGAAGTAGTAGTACCCAAGTCAGATTTTTACTTCTGGGAATGGCAACTTAAAATACTGAAATAGCCTTGATTTTTCAATTCACTCCTGGTTTTCCAAACGTAAGACCTTATTTAACATGAGGCCAGGGACAGACTACTCCTTTTAAAAGTAAGGGTGTGCCTGAAGGCTTAAGATCTCTTTATCACAAAAAATATCTCTAAGGCTTGAGAAGGTCTCTGTCACAAACAATTGAAAACACTTAAACCCTCTTGAATTCTCACAGAAGTCTGGCATCAGGAATATCTTTTAAATAGATATTTAACAAGATTTTTTTTTTCTGGAAAAAAAGAAGGATTTACAACGTTGTAATTTCTTTATGATGATCTCAAAACTGAGAAAAGAGGCAAGATTTTGCTGCCACAGCTTAACCTGGTTACAGCTTGCAAGCTTTCCTGTTCTTCAGAGCACTTCGCTGTGGGAATACAGAAATGCAGTCTCCTCTTTCTCTCATGTCTGGAGCCCTGCCCGGTGGCTGCAGACAAGCAATGCCTCTTTGTTCTTTAACCTCCAAATGAACCAGGGATGCAATCTGACAAGCTGAAGCAGTGCTCTCATCTTGCTTCAACTGGGTCCGCTTCTTTGAGAAGGGCGAAGTGAAAATAGTTTTTCAAAATCCAAACACTGAAAAAAAGCCCAAAACAACTAAACAAAAAAATCCTACTGGATTATCTAGTATCTGGTTATTTTTGAAATTTGATGTTTTCTCCTTAGGATGTGTGTTTTTAGCTGCTGACAAGCTGGAAAAAGCTAAACCCAAGGCAATAGGAAGACAATTCTGATATCCATAGCTCCAACCATAACCTCTATGGCAATATATGAACCCAATCTCCTAGCTGAGTTCCCTTTAAGAAACCTGGACCTGAGCAGCAAGTCTCTGTTGTCATTCTTTCCATAAGTACTTGGAAGAGTATTTCCACTGGTTAATGGGCTATGGGATAACAGTTTAGTTAGTTTCTCAACACCTGCCTTAGCAACAAGCAGAAAGTTGTTATCCTCTATGTGAACTCTAAAAATAGTTGGGGTTTTTTTAAAAAAAAACAAACAAAAAACAAAAAACCCAAACCCTAAGAGCATAGAAATTCTCCAGTAAAACTCATCCTCATGAAAATCTACCTGTCAAGTTTGTGTGCACAGTATCCTTTATTAGAAAATTCTTGTAGGCAGTGCTGAATATATGATATACAGGGAAGACAGACAATAACCTACCATGCTGCTTTATCTTTCTCTTTTTTCTTTCAAGCATAGGCTACTGAGGATAAAATATTTTATCAGTAGAGGCAACAAAGCTGTCAATACTTGGAGAACTTAATTATTCTCTGTATTCTTTGAGTCGTCTTGTCCTTAGAAATTTCTTTTTCAGTGACTTAATTTCTCCCATCCTGAAATACCAACATTAACTTAAAGCTGAGATCACAGTACAAGCAGCTATTTTCTTTCCCATGGAACAGTAATGAGGCTTTGATGTAACTCAACTGGAAAAAAAATCAGGATGTTTTTACGAAAAGATTGAAGAAATGGGAACTTTAGGTTCCTTTATAAACCTTTTTCCTTATTTACATGGAACATGGTTTCTGCACAGTTGTGGGAGAGATGGATCTTCACAGAGGCCAGTGAATCCATGTTTATCCAGAGCCTGGGTGACTAAGAGTCAAAGACAGAGGAGGATCTACCAAATTACAGGATGCTTTTTGTGAAGACTTGTGTGAAACTTGCAGTTCAAGGCTATGATATTACAAGCAAAAGAGAATGAATAAAGGGTTTTATTGGCCACTCTCTCTTCCACCCACACAGCAAAAGAAATGTGTGTGTGTGTGTACTGAAAATAATATGCAGCTGAGCCATGACAGTGACCTGCTTCACCAAATAGTATAGTTAAACACCCAATGAGTTCCGAGAGAATTTTAAGAGGATTACCATCCCAAAAAGATTACAGTAAGGTAGCTGAATCAATTGTTTGGTTTGAGATCCACAAGTTGAACTTAACAAAAGAGTACCAATATGTTTGTTTCACTAGCAGGCCAGCCAAAGTCATCTGAAACTGTCAACGCTTGCATCTTTTATTATTCATGTGGTTATCTTTATTGCACAGTAAGACTGTTTGACAAATAAAGTCCAAAAACTGGTATAACTGATGCTATAATACTGGTGCACTCTGCTGAATGTATACATACATAATGCTAACATTATGGAATAAATCCACTTTAAATGCTCCAAGGAGATAAGCCCTTTGTTCTATCACCAGAGGTACAAATATTTAATAATACAGCAGCATTTGGAAAAGTTTCACTGCCACCTGCTTATGTAAAATGACCTGTGTTTGACAGAAAGAGGTTCCCAGTATGTTATAATAATTATTTGCTTTTGCTGTTTTGGATATCAGCAGCATCTTCCCACTAAGGAATGTGGAGCATAGACCACAAAGTATTTGTCTTGTCCTATCTCTAACATTGTTAAAGTTGAGGGAGGGAAGGAAGGAAGGAAAAGCTCATCTTTCTCCAACTGTTCATACACTCCTGCAAGACAACAAATGCAAAACTACAACCATATGTTAAAATAATGTCTTTAAGTCTGTTTGTATTGATTTCTATTACACTTAAGGCAACCAATTTAAAAACATATTCTCCAATAAATGGTTCTAGTAATGAACCCTTTAGGATCACAGAATTAAAGCAAGTGCAGAGAGATACATGCTGGAGGTCCTTCAGAGAAATATGACGAGTCCCAAGAGTCGTGGTTCATTTACTTTTGGCTTCTTGGTTGTGAGGCCATGTACAGTGCTACTAGACAGTAGATAGTCCCCCCTATTGTGAGAGCCATAGTGGTCCGATAAAGCAGCTTATCTGGAACTCCTCTTTTCAGGTGTACTGGCAGTCCATCTGCTTTCTGTGAGAAGAGTTTAAAAAGAAAACAAAAAAAGAAATTAACATCCATACTAAGGCCATAAGGAACAAGCTATCTGATGTAAGTTAAGGGACTTCCATGAGGGAAAAATCCTGACAAACAGGCTATCTACAGTCAAGTGTATTATGTGTTTTTCATTTAGCAAGACAAATACAAAGGCAAGTTAATTTTATTAGCCAAAGCTGTTAAGTGCAGGCAGAAAGGATGTATCTTGAAATATTTCTCAAGAGGACCTGAACGGGAAAAGTGTCACTAACAAAAGAACATGAAAAGATATGTATAAAAAATTATTCACCAAGTCAGACTGACACATTCCAAATGCAAGTGGCATGTAAAAGGGAACATCATATAAAGCACATTCTTGAAGATTTTTTAAAAAATGCTTAATTGATTTGTTTTATGAAAAGTCTTAGTACACTTAGAAATTGCATAGCTAACTGGTTTTGAAAACTTTACTGTGCTGCTCTTATGCTGCATTATAAACAGCTTCAGTGATACTAAAATTATACACAAAACAGTAATGATCTACTTCACTCCTCCAGATCTGCTTTCAGGCATACACTTGGATTCCCAGACAGAAAGTGCTTCTAATAGTCAGATAATACAATAAACATCATCTGAAGCCAGTGAAAAGACAGACAATATTACCAGACTTTCCACTTTCTGTATTTATCTCCTACACAAGGCATATATACCTTGTAGTATAGTACAAGTTATACTGTACTTGAACCTTTCTTAACTAGACTTTACAAAATTTTGGTGTTGTAGAACAAAACTAGTTAGCCACATCAAAATAAGGAAAGGTTATGTCCTACTCTCCAGTTTTCTTCAAGTTACCCTCAAAGTTGTTGTTACCTGAAAAAGTTTCTGTAGGTCTGGCACCTTGTTTTTACCCAAGAATGAATCAGTTGCTGGTAAATCTGATGCAAGTTTAGTTGTTGTCCCAAATATCAGAGCGGGAGATTCAGTGGAAACTATTGGTTTGAGTCCCTGCATAAATAAAGATTAAAATATCAAGGTACATAACACTTGCAAATGTACCAACTGTCACATTAGGCAGGCACACTGCCAGTCATTACAAGGATACATTACAAAGACTATTTATCTGGTACAAAGACCTGTGACAATGAGCTAGACACATTTCTGGCCCACTCACTTCTCAGCAACAACTCTAGGTCAGAGCTTAGCAAGGACAATAGAAGCATCTTTTCTGATTTCTTCATGACATAAATTTATAGTAATCCTAAGTTTTTCTGTGCACGTACTTGGTTCAAATTGCTGCTTGTTTTTTGCACACAGACTATCTAGGGCTCTATTTGAGTAGCAGGATTAGAAGCAGGGAATCCCTGATGCTTGGGTCAAACAGACTGAGGTTCAATGAATTCTTCTCCTGAAGGCTGCAAGCAGTAGCCATAAATAACTGGGCCTTAAATAACTTTGATATATAGTTTGAGGAAAAAAAAAAAAAAAAAGGGGGGGTTTGGACCACTCGTTTCATACAATAGTAGTAAGCAGTGCTCAAGGACACCTCTAGAAGCCCTGACATGGTGGATATTTTATGCAGGTGTAACTACACCCTACAATTCACATGCTGCCACAACTTTCCACACCTCAATGGACTCCCCATAAGCAGCACAACTTAATATGCTTTCAGTTCAAATGATTGTGCTCTACATTTGCTGTAATCAGAAAATACATAATGCAGTTCTATGGATAAGATTTAGTGCACAAAGTCACAGCCACCATGAGGTGGCCTCCTTGCCTTTATTGTTATAGTTAGATTTAACAGTTACGCCTGGACACATGGCAGTGATACTTCACATTATGGCTCCTGAAACAGCTGTAATTTTTTTTCCCCCTCACTTGTCACAGAAATGAAAAGCATTGTACAAGTAGGTTCATGTAATGGGTTTTCTTTACAAACAGAATCAGCAATTGCTCTCTATGGGTCAAGTTAAGGCTGCACTGAAATTCTAGTTTCTGTCCAAAGGACTAGTTGATACATTTTGTATTTAAGAGAACTGCCTGAACAGTATTTGGAGTTGGAAGCAGACTAGCACTCTTTTTTTCTCTTACGCCTGCCATAGACCAGACACGTTTTTTCCATACGTAAAGTCTCTAAATTCTCTGCCGCAACAGGCATCTTCAACAGAAAGACCAGATTTCTCAACATCCCAAAATAGCCTGTGGAATGATCATCAGGGCTCCATCCTCCAACATGGGTCCAGCTTCCCACTTTTCTAGTGCCTGAATTAATATTAGAATCCCTTTGTGACCTTCTTGGTTATGTTTTGAAAGACAGCAGCCAAAACTGGATTCTCTGACACATTCAATAACTAGTGCCTTCCTACTGAACAAGCTTGCACAGAAGGAACTGAATTATTTAAGACTAGGCAGTTCTGATCATACCACTAAGAAGGATGCATCTAAGAAACTATTATTATCCCAGGGAAGTTACTGGATATATATTCAAGACTAAGTACCCGTTATGTCAAAAATACTTGAAGCAAGCAATTTTGGACCCGTATTTTTGTCTATAAGAACTCTAACTACTTTATTAGATTTGTCTTTAAAAGGTTGATGATTTGATAGAAAAAACTACAGAACAGATCACCACATGTGCAGGTGACTTTTTCTCACCTTCCTGATCGTTAGTATTGCAGCAAGGTGCATCTTTCATCTTGCTTTAGGCTTCCACTTCTGAATCTCACTTTTGCCTTCCTAAGGGCTTAACTTTTTCAGAAGCAGTCTTTGAGATCACTTCAATAGTTACTACATCATTGCAATTTATGCTTGTTGTCATCATATCTACTTTATTTCATGAGCTGTCTGTAGTGTATAAAACCTGTAAATATTGAAAACTGGAGTAAGCTGCAAACTACTTCAAACAGTTCCACGATAAAGATACTTCTTTAATCTTTCCTAAACTCACAGACAGGGGGCTTAAAAATGTGCTTAGCACTAATAACAAATGGTAGGGGTTGCTAAAACTCCTGCCTCTACAGGATACCACCTGGATGCAAGACACTACAGATTAACATTAGAACAGTGAAATCAGTCGTGCTAACAACTGCAAGTTATTGCATACTTTTTCAGGCTTTAGAAATACATTACTGTCCAGATACTTGTAAGATCCCCTCCTGTTGTGAGCAACAGGAGATTCAAACCTGACTCAGGTGACTAACTTCATAACAAAATCAAATGAAACCATTTCAGAAAACTCATATAATCATCAGTGTACTATTGAAATGACTTCCAAAGCAACATGGTGCTGGTTAAGAACACTGCATAGCAATTCAAATAAAAATCATTTACATGGTTCACTGGTTTCAGGAAAGAGTACAACAAAACACATGCTGCAGAAGAGAGACAGCTCAGTTTGCATAACACAGACACTGCATTAATCAGGGTCTCTCACCCCAATATAAACTTGAATTGCATCCATGAATGTGAACCTTGTGGTCAGCTCCAACCAAGCTCAGCTAAATTAGCATAACTGCATGGCTGTTCCAGCTGGGCACTGGTCTGTGTTTATTGAAAGAAAGTGGCAAGTCCCTTATCTCACACCCAACTGCTGGTTAAGCTTAGTGTGGCTGAAGAGAAATCCTCAGTATCACACCTAAGAATTTCAGTACAGGTAATTTTTTATGCAAGTCGTTAAGTCACCTTAAATGACCTAACTTAACTGTCACTTGCATTTAACATGACTAAAATTGCAGGCTTATTTAACAGCATCAGTCTTACTACACTCAGGATAGTACTGAGGAATGAATGCCTCTAAATGTTTGACCTATGCTTCATAGGAAAATGTTTCACATTGATAATTTATCTTCTGATATTAAGGTGTTAATCTTTTATTTCTAATCATGTTAACATGAATTTGTTCCAATTCCTGGACAAAGTACAGCACATGTACTTGTGCAGAAGAGTCAACATCAGCTGATTTCATCAGCACACTACAGCAATGACTTTGTGAAATGCTGAAGTCCTCAATGAAAGGTCAGGACGTGTAGCTAATCCAAAACAGCAAACAAAAGTCTCTACCTACCCCTCTGTAAAGTGTGTTTGTTTTCCTGTCAGAGGTCTGAAGGTTTTAGGACCCAATCTATCTGTCGGTTGGCCAACATGCTCAGTTAAAACAAACATCCCTTTCTAGCATGAATTCCCGAGCATGAAACAGTTAAGGATTTGGAACACAATTTAATGGAAACAGCACCACGCTTAATTTTTTTAAATGTTAGGGGAATCGCTCAAACAGATCAGAGAATGAGAATGTGGCAAAAACTGAGGTAAGGACCAAAATGAAAAGGGGAAACAGGAAAGTTAAGGAGAATTATTATTTCAGGACAGGCACTGAATTAACTTATATGAACTTGCTAAGCTAAATAGCAGGTCCTTCACAGTAAATATACCTCACTATATGAAGTTAAATATATTTGTTACCACTAACACAAGGATGCTTTTAAGTAGGATCACTTGAGGCTTTGTCTTGGAATGACACACTTAAGTAAAAGTTGGTTTTTGTACACTTTAAGTATCATCTGCAGCATAAAAACTTAACCATTACAGTCTCTCAATAAACCATTCAATTCTTAACAGCTAAAATCAAGAGATCTGTGATTTGTGGGGGTTTAAAATAGCTACAAGCAAAGTAAGTTGTATCAAGTGAAGATACAGTAGTATGACTAAATTTCTACCATGTTGTCCTGGTTTTGGCTGGGCAGGATCATGGTCAGCCTTGAACTAGCCAAAAGTTCATACAGTCATCCACCTGATGGCATTTGAAACCGGTCCCACTATTTGTACTTTAAACATAAACCAACTCCTTGAATTAATAGTTTTATTGTATTTGTAATGGCTATGGCACTCATTATCCTCCTAAATATGAGTAGTAATTTTTAACCTATTTGACTCCTCACCTCCACTAGCTGAGAAAGTTCCCATTTAGTCAAACAGGCTAAATTGTTCATACTACTTTACGGAACTTTTTTTAAATGTAAAATTAAGTCTTCTAAGAATGCTAAGACTGAGATGGAAAGAACAAGACAGGTTTCAAACTAAGAGGGTTTTTTTGTTAGTATAAGCTGTTAGTTATGTTACTGTCAGCAAAAGAATTTCTGAAATACATTTTGACTGATATTTTGCAGACTCACAATAAGCTTAAACCTGTATCAGGACAATACTCCATAGGGAACCATTAGAACGTAACAGTACAGAACAAAATGAATTATTATAGTGCATATTTGAGCAAGCAGAATTTGAATCACAGGATGTCTTCATTTTTCCAGAAACATCAAGATAAATAGAAGCATGAAAACCAAATAATTTTACATGCAGAGCTATGGTTTTGTTAAATACAGCAATGAAATCAATAGGAAAACATTTACTTTGTTTCAGACTTAATATCTACTTATGTAGATGTAATACTTATATTTTAATTCTATTTCTTGCAAACAGTTTTGTCAGACTACTTCTGAATGTGTCACCTGGGAATAGAGTCAAAAAAAAAAAATTCTACCTAAAAAATAGACTAAGAACACTGTAGAAACGGATTGAAGGTAACTTTTTAAAATGAAGCTATTCTGTTGCATAGCACGTTTGCACACCACAGTTGAGGGCTAAGCCATATGAATGGTGAGTCAAACATGAAAAAATTACATACATCAATATGAAAAAAGCCCCCATTTATAAAGCGAGACAATATTTCTAAGACCTAGATAAAATGCATCTGCTTGGATACAATCTCATCTTCTCAACTATATTCCCTCAAAAATTAGGTTTTAACATTTCAGTAATGACACTGAAATGAAATACAATGCCTGATGATGACCTAAAAAGAAGTAACTACAGTGTTCTAGAAGAAAACTATTGCTATTCCTTGGACATTGTCTTTCCTGCCTTGCAGAGGATAGAAGTAAGATCCATCTAGACTTTTTTTTTATCTGCAATGATACATTTATGTAAAGCTAGTTTTGCACAGACTCTTCACGAACCAATTTTGATATATGACACTACAGCATTTAATCTGGATGATGTAAAGAATTCAGAATTTATCGTGTCTTTCTGTATCTAGTGCAATGATATTCATACATGCCTAATAATCATTAACAGAACAGAATGTGGGATAAGAGAATTCTGTATTCCCCTCTTATCTTGCTTCTGGTTTTTTAATCCCTAAAAAATAAAGATGTACCTAAAATGGGATAATTGTTATAATGTAATGGAGGCTGCTGAACAGAAAGGTAAGCAATATTCCACAATCTGGGCTCCAGAAGCCAAAAGTGTTGTCTTTAGGACAACTTTGCTCCAGGTAGTTATCAGAGCTTTCTGTATTTCTGTGCTGGGGCTTTTCTCTTACGATCCTAAAAAGGATGCATTATTTACAGAAAAATAGTCGCAATGACCTAGAGACTAATATGTAGTGTTCTAAGTGATACTCTTCCAGAGAGGAGGTACTTCACTGCTTGGGCTTGAAGCTCTTTTGCCCCACACCAACAGTAACCCTGGCCTTTGCTTTCCTCTACACAAATGAAATGTCAATTCATGTTTATTCTCTGAATATATCTTTCTGTAGAAGAGGTAAGAAGTGCCCCAAACACTGCAATAGTGGCAAGTGTTTTCTAGCAGAGGTGCCTGTTGGACATACTCGGACACACTCTAATGGACATACTTTTAGACTAGAACATATTATTTATTCCACTGTCTTCCCTGTGCCCTGAAGCCCTGCCCCCAATAGCTACCCAGGAAGCCTTCCAAAGAGTGATGAGGAAAGAGGATAAAAATCTTCTTCAGACAGAAACTGCCCTATCAGAAAGTCAATAGTACCTCGGTGTTAACTTAAGATCATAGAGCAATTCAGGATGGAAGGGCTCTCTAGCACTCTTGAGTCCAAACTGAGGTGACACCGGGTTGCTGTGGGTTTTGTCTGGTCTAGCCTTGAAAGGCCTTGGAAATCCTCCAAGGATGGAGACTGCATAACTTCCCCAGGCACTTGCTCCACTGCCTGACTGTTCTCATCACGAGAATGTCTTTCCTGATATCCAGTTTGAACCTCTCTTGTTGCAGCTTATGCCTGTTGTCTTTTGCCCTCCCACCATGCACCATTATGCAGAGCCTGGCTCCATCATCTTTATAACCTCCTTGTAGGTGTGGGCTGGCTGATCTTATGTCTGCACCTGCCCCCTCTCTCTTCTCTTCTCCAGGTTGAACAAGCCCCATTTCCTCATCCTCTCCTCACATGGCAAGTGCTCCAATCCCCTGACCATCTTGGTGACCTCTGGTGAATTTTCTCCAGTTGCTCAAGAACATACCCACACTGGGGGGCCCACAACTGGATGCAGTACCTAGATGTGATCCAATGAGTGCTGGGCAGAGGGACATCATCACTTTCCTTCATCTGCTGGCTGTGCACATGGTGACACAGCCCAGGACGCTGCTGTCTGCCAGTACCACAGAGTGTCTACAACAGAACTGCTCCCACCAGCCTGTCAGTTTCCAGCCTGTATCTCTGCCACTGGCTCTTCCTTCCCACATGCACAACTTTGCCTTTTTTCCTCATGGACATTCACAGTATTCCTCACATCCCCCACTCTAGATAACTCCCTCTGAATGGCAGCTCTACTTGAGATGTTTTGGAGGCACTGCCTTGATGTCTTCTGTAAACTTTATAAGAGTGCACTCTGTTGCCTGCTCCAGGTAACTGATAAAGTCCTGCAGTATTCCACTTGTTATGAGCACCCCTACAGAATATGACCCATTAGCCACTATGCTAAGCCTGATCATCCAGTTCTCTTAACCCTTCTAATTGCCTATCCATCTAAACTACAACATCTTAACTTCAAAAAAATTCAAAACTAAGAGCTCTGTAGCTGGTCTGGGGCCCTTGAAACAATTGGACATTTTACAGAAGCTTAATACAACGTTATTGCTTGAACATAACTGGATTTTCCAAGTAAAACT